AAATTTCCCAACACCATAAATGGTGATAAAATGTGAGGGTTCGAGAGCTACATGGATGGTTTTCCAGTCTTTTTAAGGAAAGAGCCTTCTGTCTATTCATGCCATTAACCAATGTATTGATTTATAAAAAGCTACCCACAAACAGGGAGAAAGTGATGGCACCAATGTTCAGACCCACCTTGTCCAACTCAAATACACTTTCATACATAAGACCTCCTGCCATTCTCCATTCTCTTTCCACTATGGTTAGTATTGTTATTGGACAATAATGTCAAAGATGAAAAGGAGAAACACAGGTTTTTAAACCACATCAAGGAAATCTTTGAAACAAACCTATGTTGGTTGGCTAACACTGGGCGATTTCACAAAAATTTGTAAAATATTATGTTTCCTTTTTATAATGACCTGGAGAGATGGGCATCACTATCTCAATTTCATAAATGAGGATACTGAGGTTCAGCAAGGTGAAGTAACTCACCCAAGATCACATAGCCAGAAAGTGGAATCCAAGGTCTGTTTTCCTTCAAAGTCAATGCTCTTAATGATTCTACTATAATGCTTCTCAGATTTTTTATATGATATTAAGATGTAGATGAAGTCCAATATTATGTATCCCCAGGTTATGTTCACAAGGAGCCAGGAGACACAACAAAAGACAAAAATGATTCAACCCTTCCATTGGTTTCTATTTCCTCCTTCATCTCAAGAATTACTGTTAGTTAAATTCTCAGTCACAACTATCTATATACATGTTCAACACATTGAAATTTTAAAAATTTCAAACATTTTATTGTTTTGAAGAGAACAACAACTGCTGTACAACATGTACAGGGAATGCTGAGATCCACCTGGGTGGCAGGCTTCACCTAGACTGGTAAGAGACAAACTTGCTCACAGTGTACACAGGAAACCAACACTGCTTCCAACCCTGTTTTCCATCATTTCCTGTGGCTCTGGACCACCGACCAATGACAAAAGTTGATCACTTGAAGGAAACATTTCCACAACAGCATGCAATTTTGATATCTGGTAATTTCCGGAATGGTTTAGATAGGTTAAAGAAAGGAGAACACTTAAAGAAAGGAGAAACATAAGCACTTAAATTGGTCATGATAAAACAGGACAATGGCTGGTAGAGGTATTCTGTCTGGGCAGCATGGTACCATCTTTGTACTAGAATACTTGTTTAAGTAATTATTAGAATAATTTGATGGGTTTTATCCAATACATCTATAAAAGCAGGGCTGAAAATAAATTCTGATACTGTTGATGAGAAGGCTTAGTTTCATAAACTTAACACAATTAAGATGAACATGGAAAACAGTGGGCAAGCCGAAAGCAGATAAACTTTTGCCTCAATTGGATGATGGTTGGATGTCAGCCAGTATTTCATGGGTCTAGTGGTGAAAGGAAAGCATTAAAGAACAAACACAATGCTGGAAATATATGATTAAAGACTACCTCTAAAAACACGATGCATTTAGGGATTTTATAGTATTTTTGGTTCACTGGTACTAGAACTCCATTTATAATTATTTGGTTCTTGCAGGTTTGTTCATATTTTCAAGAATGCATTATGCACTGATGTACATAGAAAACTGCCTGTACCTAGTTGTTTTGTCTCTATCCTTATTCATTTAAGCTAAACAAACAAATTGGATGTCAGAGTGATGAACACTGCAGAATAAGCAAATGAAAAATAAAACAACTTTAGATTCAGGAGCCGGGGCAAGCATCCAGATTTCCGTACAGGGAAGAGCTGAGGTTAACGCAGCTGCAAAAAACTAGGCGCATGCACGTGGCATTGCTTGAGAGACAGGAAGCCTTTCCAGGATTTCCAACTTCTTTCAGATGTTGTGGGGAATAGTTAAAGGCACTAGATACATGAATTGAATTTCATTTAACTCTGTGTTTTAAATAACTGCTAAATAAGAACTCCCAGAGCACAATGTCTATTCCCATCCCCAGGAATTTCTTGAGCTGGGAGGAATGCCTGCCAGTGAGCCTAACTCTGTCCTCAGTTTACAGTCACAGTTTTTCTCTTCACTCAGATACCCAGAAGGCTTCTCTTAGGTGTGGTTTCATCCAGCCAGCCCTACCTGTCTTAATCAGGCTGCCTTCCCCAGTACTAAATAAAGTGGAAAGGAAACTTCTACCCGCACACTCATCAGGGACTACAAGACCCAACTCACATCCTGCAAACCTCAGGATGGAACACGACTCCTTTTAACTACCTGGGCATAGTAGCTGACTATCAGGAAACTGCCCGTGGCCTCCACACATTGCCACACTATTTACACAGCTGATGGAAGTTTGCCCTGGTTGAGGAATTTGGCTCTAGAGGATTCCCCTTAAAATTCCCAAAGGGCCTATTCACCCTGTCACACCCGCACAGATGCCTGTGGAGATAGCAACAGTGGGGTTCATTTTCTAACTCCTTCTGTATACAATTATAACTCTACATGTTTATTTAAAAGTGGGGGGTTGGAGAAGAGCTAGGGGAGCTGCAAAATCTAACATTATATGAGATATTTTCAAGAAATATTTTGAGTAAAGTCAACAACCCCCTTCCCCTGCCTCTCAGACATTCCTCAGCTTCACTCAGCAGCCCAAACTCTGCCCTCCACACTCACAGGCATGAAGCAGAGCCAGGACGTGACTCCCAACAGAAAATGAGCCTTTCTAAGGCAGAGGGAAAGAAGCTGAAAGAGTCAACCAACTCTCAAAGCACAGAGGGAGAAGCAGCAAAGCAGAGGGTCAACATTCTTCTCCTTTAATAATTTAAAGCCCTGCTATTAGTAGAGGAAAAGAAAATATCAGACACATGATTGTATCATGACAATAAGGCACAGCAGAGGTGATAAGATGAAGGGAGTAATTTCCTGAAGCCCTTCTTGCTTTTTTAAAGATAAGGATCAATTCTTATTCTTTCAACTATTAAAACGTGATAGAAATGGCAGTAAGCTATTAATTTTGCAATTGCAGTGGCAGGCCCATCCTGGCAGTGGTGGGGCCTGCCTTCCCTAGCTGTGAATGACCTCTTTCACTAGGAAAACTGTTCAGGAAACAGCTCTCCATTTGGAAAGAGGTGTATATGAGAGGCAAATGTATATCCAAAATGTTCCCTTTCTTAATTTCCTTCTCCTCCTCCTAATTTTCTCCTAGCCTAAGTAATTAATCTTCTTGTGTTGGTCAAATAAATTCCATTTAAATCAGTTCATTCTAAAGTAGAAGAAGAGGCAGAAATGGTGGAGAACGTGGGAGGAGGAGGAGATAGAGAGGGAGGGGGCGGGGAGAAGAAGAAACTGATCTTCCCATGCATTGCCCACTTCTTTCCTTCTGAGGAGGCAAAAGTCTAGTCTCAAGTGTGTGGGTTTAGATTTTGGTGCCAAACTCCCTGAGTTTGACTTGGCTTCTGCCAAATGACTGACTATGTAACTTTGGCACTGGCATGTCAACTTTCTTATTTGAATCAATGTTCTTGCTCATAAAATGGGAGCAACAATAGTCCCAAACTTCTGGGGTGGTTGTGAAGATTGAATATAACACACCTTGAATAGTATCTAAAACAAAGTAAACGCTGAGTACAATTTTATGACTACTATTTGCTGTGATTTGAATGTGTCTCCAAAAAAACCATGTGTTGGCAACTTAATTGCTATTGCAGGAGTATTAAGAGGTAGGACCTTTAAGAGGTAGGAACTTTAAGAGGTGATTAGGCCATGGTGGCTCTGTCCTCATGAATGGATTAATGCCGTTTTCTCAGGAGTTATCTTGGGAGTGGGTTCCTTATAAATGGACAAGCGTGGCCTCCTTTTGTCTCTCTAGCCCTCTCACCTTCTACCATGGGATGATACAGCAAAAGGGCACTGGCCAGATGTGAGCTCGGTATTGATATTGAAATTCTCAGCCTTCAGAACTGTGAGCTAGTAAGTTTCTGTTCATTATAAATTCCCCAGGTTGTGGTATTGTCACAGCAGCACAAAATGAACTAAGACATTATTGTTGGCTCCTCCATCTCTCAACTGTCAGATTCAAGGCAGATCATGCAAGAACAGAAGGCAAACAACACTAACTAGAGATAAAAGTCACATATAGAACATACAGAATAGCTCTAAATCCTTACTAGAATAGAAGCAAATGGAAGTAAATACAGTCACTCTTTTATTAAAAATTTAAATATGATATTAAACTGGTAATTACAGGCTTATGATTTGTAAGAGGTGGGGAGAAAATAGTCTTTCTGTTTACATGACAATAGGCAGAGCTTTATTTGAGAAATTAAGGAGAACTTAGAAAAAAGCAACTAAAAAAACTACTGAAGGATTAAAAAAAGAAGAAATAAACAAAGAAGAAAAGGTTAATGAATAAGCAATAAACTAACCCCATGTTCAGCTGATCTCTATAATAACACTGGTGTTTGGGGACAGAAATAACTTCATATTATAGGCTTTCTGGGATTCAGGGAGGGAGCTGCACTATAAATTACCCTGTACTCTGGGGATTGAATTAGACCCACAGTGTAACTCAATCTCTGCCCTCATCCATCTCAAAAAGTCCAGCTCAAACCTTTTCCCATTCTCTCAGAGGAGAAATTTGGCCTGTGGTTAAGAGCGAAAGAGGCCAGAGTGGAGAACACTCGGATAAGAGTACTGGAACCACCACTCACCAGCTATGTGTTAGCAGGTTAGCAACCTCACTGAGCCTCAATGTCCTCATTTCAAAAATGGGGCTACTAATAGTACCTATGTCAAAGGGCTGTGTGAGCATTCAACATGAGAATGCGCATTGTGGATAAAGGTTTTCTACCAGAGGTTGGCACCAGGCAGAACCTAATCCAATCATCCATTTTACAGATAAGAAAACTAAGATCTAGAGAAGTTGAAACTGTCCCAGGGCCATATAGTGAGTTTGATTCAAAGTCTGGAAACCTAAATTAGAACCTTAGTCCTGACCCCTTATTCAGTGTTTTTGCACTAAATACGCTTTTGCCTCCACAGGGCTTCACAAAGACTCTCCCACATTGATTTTGTCCTTTGCCGAACATCAAGCGCATTTTCAACCAGTACCATCAGGATAGCATTTGAATACTCTCTATGACTGCATTCCCTCAACTGCATCATAAGTTCCTTGAAGTGACAAAAGTGGTTTAACAGCTCTGTCTATCTAAAGATGTCTACTCAGATACTGGGCACAAAATTGATTGATAGCAATTGATTGACAGAGAGGTTTCTTTAGGAAGAGCTTTTACTCTGAATAAAATATTCCTGTGAGGAAGATGCCGACCGGCCATCTAGGTCTGCAGAAGATGAGACCAGAGGAAATGGATTTTGAACATGCCCCGAGAGACCTGTAAAAAATTAACTGCAAGGGAGTTTAAACACAGGAAGAACAGAACAGAGAAGGCTGAGGGCTCTCTCCTGAAATGAATGTTTTAAAAAAAAGACAGCCTATTTTTAGATAAAATAAGTTGACACAGGCCATTGGTTCTTAACCTACAGTCTGTAAACCCCAAATGTTGCTGCTTTTGCTAAGGATCTGCAAATTAATTTGCATATCAAACATTGTAGAATAAATCTTACACTTATATGCAATGCCTTTTTTCAAATCCACGTGGAGAAATATATTTGACTTAATAAAATACAAATTCTTTAAAAGCATTATGAATTTTGTTGTAACTTTTGTTCATTATGTATATTTTAATCAAGCAATAAAAACAGTGGCTAACATTATTGAACATTTACAGAGATCATTTGTTTAACTCTCATTAGCACCCAGGAGGTAGGTATAATTGTTATTCACATTTTAGAGATAAGAAACTGATATTTGAAGAGTTTAACTAACTCACCCTTTAGTTTTACTGGTATAAATAATGGAGCTGGCATCTGACGCCAAAGCCTGTACTATAATTACCCAACATTAGGTCACTTTTTAATTAACCAGTGTAAAACATTTTACCTATTTTCATCCATGTACACAGGTGTAAGGGGTGGGTGTTTATCCATAAAATTTTATGTTTAAAGAAGATTCTCGTATCTGCAAGGGTTAGTAACAACACAAACTATAGATAAAGAATAGCTTCAGAATAATTCACTTTGACTTTCAGCAAGCCAGGTGCTCAGAAGTAAGGGACTCAATTGGTTGATCCCTAGGAATAGCTCCAAGTCAGAAATTCTATCATTCTGTAATTTAGATTTGCATTTCCCAAAATGGATTCTGCAGAATTCTGGTCTTAAGAGATGCTTCACAGAAGTTTGAGGAACACCGCAAACTAAAAGAGCCACTATACACAAAAATGAATATCCTCTTTTGGAGATTCATAATTACATTCCATGGTGTAAGCTCTGAGAAGTCCTCCAGAGCACTGGATCACACAAAATTAAACAGGTCCCCTTATTATAAGACTTAGCAAGATAACCTTTTTCATTTTGCGTAGCCTGGGGTACCCTGAAAATATTTGGGCATCGAACTCCTGCTCTACATAATTTTTTTAAATATTTCGTGGAACGGGTTCCACAGAAAAGAGTTAGGCTAGAACTCAAATTGGGCAGTTGAAACATTTTTGTATTATGTGGTAGGCTACGAAAAGTGAACTTTTGAGATTCTTCCTAAAACTGTCTCTCTATATGAAAGTATGGGTCCTCATAAAGCTTTTTAGTCAAAAGCCATATTATCTAAGCACTGTACAGACTGCTAAGTATTTTTGTCTCTCTTTCAGCATGGAAGAAAATTTTTATTAAGCTATACCACTCTAAATGTTACGTCCTTCTATTCTTCAAAATTCATTCTAGACTAAAGGTTCTCAAACTTTATCATCCTCAGAACCACCTGGAGTGCTTGTTCAAACAAGAGTTGCTGAACCCCTCTCCCACAGTTTCTCATTCAATACATCTGGAAAGAGGCCTGGGAATTGACATTATTCACAGTTCCCATGGAATGCTAATGCCGCTGCTCAGGGACCATACCACTCATCTAGACCTCTTGTGTTAGATGTAGACCATGAAGTGGACACAGAAGGCACCTGGTCATCTCTGCTTCCATCATCAAGGGCTGTTATCTTTTCTCTTGCTTTCTGTAAGCCTGGCTCTTGGATATCCTGACAAATATTTATGGTTTTTGTGCTGAATTCACATTTTAAAATTACAAACGTTTTTAAAACTTCAATCAGTGATGAAGAAAGGAAGTTAAGAGAATAGAGAGTGTCTTTGAGCTTTAAGAGAAGAAGATATTCTGAAAATATTCAGCATTAATTTATGTGAGTTAATCTCTTATTTCTCATTCAATCATATACATTAAATTTCAGTAGAATGAGTTTATTCTCACCTTGGAAGAGTGATTAAGTAATAATTTGTAAATATAAGTGGACAAGTTTTATATCACTGACACTTTGGCTGGGGATCCATTCACTGGAACCCAGAGCTCTTCCAGAACTTTAATTTCCATAATAGAATATTCAATGATGCTAGAGAATCTATACTGCCAAGGGGCTCTTTAAAATGGTGACTAAATGTAGCTACAGAGTCATAAAATCCTCAGCATGTCTGGTATAGTAGATGTGTTCCTGGGAAATTGCAAGTCAAATTACTGTCAATTGAATTATATTTACATATTTATATATTCTAATTCTAGATATGCCCAACTACCACTGTTTCCTAACTCTATAAAGTTTCTGCTCCTTTTGCCCCTCCCAAGACCTACTGACCTGTCTAGGAAACAAGGACAGAAATTAATCTTTGCTGAGACTCTTCTAAGGGCTACATCATTCAATCTGTACCAAATCTGTGATGAGGGTTTCATCCAAAGGAAAGATGAGGCCCAGAGAGGTTCTGGTCAATGGAGCAGTGGTAGCATGAGGCTGCCAATCATGTCCACTGCAAAGGCCCCTCTCCCTTCACCCACCTCATGAACTACTCTTGGTGATTCTTAAACAAAATAGGGAGCTCCATCCTTAAAGGATAGCTATAGGGGAGAATTATTTGGTGTTGTGATGAATTGCCCATAATCGATTGGTATGTTTTAAAAATTGTCATTTTCATAAATGTGTCAGAGGTGAAAATATCTGAAACTGAAATTAGGTGAGAGAGGCAACATGGGTGTTAATGGGTAAAATTAAGTCAAACATTTTAGTCAGGAAGATGTAAAATGTTGCACCTTTACAGACCATTGTTTAATAAGCCCAGTGAATAACCCAAGTAAGTAATAAAGAGCAAAACAAAACACACTTTAGAGGCTCTCCCTGAGCACATATGTATTAACTTGAGGCTTAAAAAGGCAGATGTGTCATCTATCTGCTCTAGCCATTTGAAAGCAGCAACAACTTGCTAGCACCGACTCCATTATATAAAACTGTTCATGGCAGAGTTCTTGGTAAAAACAAAAACATCTTCTCTACCCAAGTTCTGAAACCTTGTGCAAACAAAGTTCTCTCAAGTAAGCTGAGCTCTGCCCACGGAGCATTCTTCAGGGCTTAGTCTATGTATAAGCTGAGTTACCTGCTATTATCCACACAATGTCAGGAAGGAGTTTATGAATGTATGACCTTAGCTTTTAAAAGGTGACCACAGAAGTTGACAATGATCTAAACTACTCATGAATGTCAGGCTCCAGGGGACTACACAGGGCTGTTCTGCACTCTGAAACCAGGCAAGGAATTGCTGAATTTAATAGTTGCTGGGGTGTGAGAGACATGCAATTGGGCTGCTCATGATACCTCTGGGAAACGGTTTGTTAGAAATAAACAAGGTTTGTGAAAAGAGCTCTACTACTCTGGGATCTGCTGGTTTTCACTGGCTAATTTCCCAGATTACTTCGGTAACTGTATGTCAACAGAAACCCAGCTTCTTCTGAGCACACTTAACCACCACTGTTTGCACAGAATGGAACCAACCCCTTGCTCATTCAGAGTGTTAGGATTTCTAGATCAGAAACACAGACCAATATAAGTTAAGTGAAGTTCCAACTTTCACTCCTTCATGTAACATGTACTGATCACCTACTCCATGCCAGGTCCTATGAGAGATACTAGTGATACAAAGATGATAAGGGGCATTCTGCTCCTTCAAGGGACTCAGTCTAATCCACAAAATAAACATGAAATACACATGATGCTAAAATGGGACAGATGTTACAATAGAAGAGAGAACATCTTGGGAGATCAGAAGGCAGTAGGCTATGCATCACGCTTCACAGAGGTGACATTTCAGTTGGGTGTTAACTGATGGCTAGTAAGGTAGAGAGATTATCATATGCAAGCATGTGGCAGTGAGATAGAGCATGGCATGCTCAGCGAATCGCTATGGGGTGGCAACAAAGAGTTTAGAGGATTGGGGAAGAAACAGCTGAGGGTCTGGGCCCTCTTAGCTAGGGCAAGAGTTTGAAGTGGACTTGAGAAATTGAAGGTTTCCAGGGAGGCTGAGGCATGGATTCACTGGGAAAGGGGTGCGAGGGGTGGGATGAAATCCCAAGAGGATAACTGGTTCTACCCAATATCCAATCCAAATACATCTGGACAAATCTTTGCTGAAAGAAGGCCCAAGCCTAGTGATAAATAGTACCAGTTTCAGCCTTTATCTCTGGAAAAAGTCATGGCTACTGTTTCTCTTACAGACCAGAAAAGAAAGAAAGCCCTCTCCTTTCCATTCACCTGGATACACTAGTCCCCTACATACACTGGTCATCTTTTTTTCTCTATGATCTCACTTCTCCAGTGCATCTTCCACACTGCTCTCAGAGTTTCTTCTTAAAACACAACTCAAAAAGCTGGTTTCTCAATGGCTGCAGAATCTGAATCCCCAATTCTTTAGTACTCTTAGCTTTTCCTCATACAATATACCTTTCCTTTCTACATTGCTGTATCTTTGCTCACGTAGGAATGGCATGCCTTTCTCCCCTATTCTCAATGTATCAAATTCTACTTGTCCATCAAAGTCCAGCATAATGGCCACTTCCTCAAGGAAGCTCCCTTAATTCTTCTCATCATGATTATATCTTCCTCTGAACCATATCATCTTGCTGGTTCCAGCTAAGACCCATGAACTCCGCCTTGTCTTTTAGATGGTCGCTGGGAAGCTTCTCAGAAGCAGGCCTCTTAATTAGGTGGAAAGGAAAGAAGGGAGATGAGAAGGGAGGAAGAAGCTTGCTTTTGAGTAGACAAAATAACTGACTCTTGGACAAGAATCAGGTATTCAGAGTCAGTTGGACAGTAAATAAGTAAAACAGGGTTAAAGGCCAAAGTAGATTATATTTTCCAAAGATGACCTCAACAAAATTTCCTAAGCTCTTCTATAGGTAGCATTGCATCAAGAAATGGAGCCTAACTTCCCTCCCCTTGAATCTGGTATGGCCTTATGACTGCTTGAAACCAACAGAATGCAGCAGGACTTTTGAGGCTAGATGAGAAAAAAAGAGGGCTTCCTCCTTGTTCTCTTGAAATTCTTGCTCTGAGGGGAGGCAGCTGCCATGTAAGATATCCAACCACCCTGAGACTAAGGTGCTGCAGAGACCACATTATGTATTCCAATAGATAGTCCCAGATGAGCTCACACTTCCAGCCACCCCTACCAAGGGACCAGATGTGTGAGTAAAATCACCTTAGAGCCTCTTAGCCAGCCCAGCTGGCAGCTGGGTACCACTAAGTGACCTTAGTCATCTCCAGGAGG